TCAGAAAGTGATTTGTACTCATTCCTGATTAACATCATTAATACTACTTATATTCATAATGATGTAGAGTTGGTTGACCGTTGATATGATATGAGAAGGAATTAGTCGAGGGTGCGGTCAAAAAAATAAAAAAATTAAAATATATAAATAATTTTAATTTTTGCCGACGTTTCGACCCACTTTGCAGGTCGTCTTCAGGGCTACAAAAGATACAAACATGTTGAAAAAATAAAAATAAAATAAAAAATAAATATAAGTATATATAAATTACGAAGAAGTTGTCAGATACAGAAATAAAAGATAAAGAAAATAAATACATGATAAGAAAATAGATAAAAGAAAATAAATACATGAATGTTAACGAATAAATGAATGTTAACGAATAAATTGATTGAAAATTGAATAACTATTGTTACAGTAAAGTTAAAATATGGATAAGATAACATAATAATAAGATATCAGTGGATAACAAGCAAGTGGAGGTTACCTTTAATTGTAAATAAACAGATAACGGGACCAAAGGTTAAGAAGTGAAGAAATTGAAAGATTAATAGGGTAACATTAGTGTAATATTGTTGGGATAGATTATTAAGTATAAATAACTCTATAAGAAAACAATAATTTTAAAAGAATACTTTAAAATGTAAGAATAAATGTAAAAACAAGGTTATGATGATAAAGAAACAAAAAACAGGTTGTACTATATATAGATGACAATTGACATTTAGTTTTTTGAAAGCGGTAATGGAATGGTAGGCTATATGAAGATAATAATAAGGTGTATAGTTGAAGGATAGGTGTGTTAAGAAAGGAATCTCAATAAAAGTCAAAACATACCGTTGGATGTGGCACTGCGGGAGGCGGTTGAAACACTGGCAGTGTCAAAAACTCTAGTTAGCAGTGTCAAAAAAAAAGTTCTAGTAAAAATAACCATATATATAATAAATATATATATAATAAATTTATATATATATATATATAATAAATTTTAATAAATATATTTTAATATATATATATATATAATAAATTTAAATTTATATATATATATATATAATAAATAACAATATATATAATAAATCTATATATATATATATATATATATATATATATATATATATATATATATATATAAAAGGAGAAGTAAAAGAAAGTATAAATGGAAGTGAGAAGATTAAATAGAGGTTTATGATCGAGACTTTTTTAAAATGTTGATGATTTGGGAGTAGGCGAGTGATAGATTTTGCTTGTCGGTTTTTAAGTTTAGTGGTTTGTAGTCTAATTGAATGAAAACACTTTCCGTAAGTAGTCTTTTGTCGTGGTTAGGTACTGTGGCAAGAATGGAGGTATTGTCAAAGTCAAATGTGTGGTTTGAGGTTAAGGCGTGTTCAGAGAGTTTAGAAGCAGTAGAGTTCTTAGAAGTAATTGAGTATTTGTGTTGTTTGATGCGGTCTTTAAGTTGGTTTTTGGTTTCTCCAATATAGGCGGAGTTACAATTGGTGGTAGAGCAAGGAATGCGGTATACGATATTAGAGCGGTGTTGCGGAGCGATGGGGTCTTTTAGGTTGGAGTAAATATTGGCAAGTTTGTTATAGTTTTTAAAAGCAACTCGCAGGTTGGGAATAGAGGAACGTAAAGATTTTTGAATTCTATCCGAAAGTAAAGGGATGTATGGTAGAGATCTATATAAAGGAATGGGGGGCTGATTTTGAGAACTAGAGAAAGGGATGGAGGATGAGGGGCGGGTTTTGTAGTCAGTAATAAGTTTTTTAATGGTGTTGGAGGGGAAGTTATTAGACAATAGTATCCGTTGTATGCGTCTAGTGTTTGTTTCATGTAGGTAAGGGTCAGATAGAGAAAAACATCGGTGAATGAGGTTTTTGGCAACGTTAAGTTTTTGGTGAAAGGGGTGTTGAGAATAGTAGTTGAGTAATCTGCCAGAGTATGTTGGTTTTGTGTACCAGTCTGTGGATAAAGTATTGTTGGGATGTCTTTTAATGAGAAGATCGAGGAAAGGGAGGGAATAGTTATCTTCGTATTCAACTGTAAAAGAGAGGCGGGGATGATATGAGTTAAAGGCGGAAAGGATGTCAGGAATAGTATCAGGATTGACGATGAGAAGAAGGTCATCGACGTATTTTTTTATAAGAAATATGTCATTAGGAAACTGTGGGGCTATGGTGTTTAGGAGATCATTAAGAACAATGTTAGATAAGTCGGGTGCGAGAGGATTACCCATAGCTAATCCTGCAATTTGATTATAAAATTGTCCATGGAACTGGAGATAACCAGATTTGCAACAAAGTTGTAGGGATTCAATAAATGATGAACGGTTAAGGGAGGTATGAGACTCTAAGGATGACCAGTTATTTTCTACTATAAGAAGGGCTTTATCTATAGGGATGTTGGTGAAGAGGCTTTTAACGTCGAAAGAGACTAGAATGTAATTATCGGGAATGGTTAGGGATAATAACAAATTACGTAGATGAAAGGAGTTGTGGATATCATATGGATTGTCATGACTAAGGATTTGTAAGGATGGGAGTAGAAATTTGCTGAGTTTTAAAGAGGGAGAGTTGATATTAGAAGTGATAGGACGGAGGGGAGTGCCGGGTTTGTGAATTTTTGGAAGACCATAGAAACGGGGAGCCACGGAGTTATAAGAGATGAGGTTTCTGTAAGTAGGATATGTGATTTGTTTAGAGTGTAAGAGGTTTCTGATATGTTGGTTAAATTGGATTTTAAGAGAAGGAGTGGGGTCACGAGTTGTAGGAGCGTATGTAGATATGTCTGATAGGAGTTCAGTCATTTTTCTATTATAGTCTGTGAGGTCCATGATAACTGTTTTATTTCCTTTGTCCGCTTTAGTGATGATGATGTCGTCATGATTTTTAAGGAAGGAGCGTGTGGAAGAAAGATCTTTGAAGAATTGAGGGGAAAAGTTAGAAGTAGTGGATGGGGGGTGTTGGAGATGGTTAGAGATAATGTTAGTTATGGAAACACGAGATAATTCTTTATTATCATTAGAATGGTGAAAGATCGGATCGTTATAAATATATTCCAAGTCAGTAATAAGTTCAGGGATGAGTTTGGTAGAGGAATTAGGGGTGGAAAAATTCGGACCTAAGCTTAAAATGTTGAGGACGTTGGAAGGAATATCTATGGATGAGGAGTTGTGGACCCAATTATCGTCTCCTTTTGGGTATATCTTATGGACTAACGATTGCTGAAAAATGTCATTAAATTTAGTGGTGAGAATACTTTTTTTCTTTGATCTGGTAGTAATAAAGATAGTGGAGATAATTTGTGATAGGTTAGTCATGTGTTCGTCAGTCATGATGGTTTGTAATAATTGAGTGATGGCGGAAATTTGTTGGTTGAGGTGATGGATATGTTGTATGATTTCACGGATTTTCAAATTAAGGAGCGATTTTTTGAATTTTAAAGAACAGTTAGATAATTTAGAATTGAGTGGTTTGGAGATAGTAATGTGATTGAGGGAATTAGTGATTGATTTAGGAAAAAGAGAGTTGGAGCGGCATTTCAGTAAAAAAATGCGCTGTTCTAACGTGTCGGCAAGGCGTTTATGGAGCGAGCATAGGTTATTAATGTGGTATTTGTGACTAGAATAAATGGTTTTGAAAAATGAGAAGGATAAATTAGCTTGACTGGGAGCGGAACTTATTAGAGAGGAGGAGTTTATATTATATATATATATATATAATATAAACTATATATTATATATATATATATATTATATATTTATATATATATATATATATATAAATTTATTATATATATATTTATTATATATATGGTTATTTTTACTAGAACTTTTTTTTTTTTTGACACTGCTAACTAGAGTTTTTGACACTGCCAGTGTTTCAACCGCCTCCCGCAGTGCCACATCCAACGGTATGTTTTGACTTTTATTGAGATTCCTTTCTTAACACACCTATCCTTCAACTATACACCTTATTATTATCTTCATATAGCCTACCATTCCATTACCGCTTTCAAAAAACTAAATGTCAATTGTCATCTATATATAGTACAACCTGTTTTTGTTTCTTTATCATCATAACCTTGTTTTTACATTTATTCTTACATTTTAAAGTATTCTTTTAAAATTATTGTTTTCTTATAGAGTTATTTATACTTAATAATCTATCCCAACAATATTACACTAATGTTACCCTATTAATCTTTCAATTTCTTCACTTCTTAACCTTTGGTCCCGTTATCTGTTTATTTACAATTAAAGGTAACCTCCACTTGCTTGTTATCCACTGATATCTTATTATTATGTTATCTTATCCATATTTTAACTTTACTGTAACAATAGTTATTCAATTTTCAATCAATTTATTCGTTAACATTCATTTATTCGTTAACATTCATGTATTTATTTTCTTTTATCTATTTTCTTATCATGTATTTATTTTCTATATCTTTTATTTCTGTATCTGACAACTTCTTCGTAATTTATATTATATATACTTATATTTATTTTTTATTTTATTTTTATTTTTTCAACATGTTTGTATCTTTTGTAGCCCTGAAGACGACCTGCAAAGTGGGTCGAAACGTCGGCAAAAATTAAAATTATTTATATATTTTAATTTTTTTATTTTTTTGACCGCACCCTCGACTAATTCCTTCTCAATACTACTTATAATTGATGCAGTCACTATTCTGAAGTCAATAAGCCTTCTTTGGTTGCATTTCCTCCATGTTAATATCAAATAGAACATATAACTTCATTCAAATAAGACAGGAAATATTCTGAGTATTTGGAATTTTACTAGAGTTGTATAGTTAAGAATGTTAATTTAGTTTGCACATTTGCCAATTGTGAAACGTTTCTTTTTTGATCAATATTTCATTAAGTAAAATATAATATTTACTTGGTTTGATAAAATAATTAATTAACTTGTTTAACTTTGTTTATTTATTCAAACTACAACAATATACAAACAAACAAAAAAAATTAAAACTTCAATTCATCCTCCAAAAACTATGTCACGGAAGTTCCTCAATTTTCTGCGACTAACCTTTTGACATCCGAGAGCTGAAAACAAAATTTTATTTATTTTTTAAATGTATTTTGGCTTGATATAGTATAAATTACGCCTTTAAACTATAACACACTAAATTCTTATTTCATTTAATGGAATACTTTAAAAACATCTTCAAAGCATTCTCGAATTTCGAGGCAGTTGATGTGAGGAATGGTGGGTGAAAGAATAAATGCCATACAAAACTGCCAAATGCCACAGATGTATTTTTAAGCAATTATTCTCCAGATTTATGTTGGTCCATCATCTCACAATTATCTCCTTGTTTTACTTAAAATGTTGATTTCCAAAGATGACATTAATGATATATAAATAGATATGTGATTTCATCAATTAGTCAAAATATGGTCTGTTGTGGACTTAATATTGATTTGACTAAATCAAGATTCAATCAAAAGAATTAACACTTCTATGTCCTATCTAGTTATTTTCAAATATTTACAGTAATTTACTTACATAGCTTGGTAATCAATTTAGCTAAATATGACATATTTATAGATAATGGATTCATAAAAATATATCTATAAATAAGTCACCTTAGATTTAATACAATATTAGGTGAATGCATCAAAAGCTATTGGCTACTTTTGAACTAAGATAATATCTAATAATACAAATGCTCACTGCTGATCTTTGATTTTATCCAAGGAAGGAAGGCTGCAACATTTGTTGTTACGGTTGGTTCAATTGAGTCACAGAACGCACTGCCAAAAGAAACAAGACCAACCAAGGTGTACCTGTTGGTTTCAGGGTCCAAATAGGTTACTGGACCACCAGAGTCACCCTGGAAATAAATGTTCATAGTTATTTTAATATATGACAAATTATTTGCCTTTTGTGAGAATTACTCAATACAATTAGAGCCTGGGGATTGGTATCAAATAAAAAATATTAATGCTTTTAACAGAGTATGCATAGATATATAAATGTAATATCATAATAAATTTACAATATTTTAAAGTGAACGAATATTTCATGAACAGAGGTTTCAGTAGAGTTAAAAGCACAAAATTATAGTAAACGAAAAATATGTGAAAACAGACAGTGCAGTAAAAGGTATGCATTATGCTAGTGCTACTGTAATATAAATTCACAAATCACTGAAATTGTCTCTGATAATCATACAAATATTCTTTTCTCCAAAAATAACCTAAAAATAATTATTTAAATAACCAACCCAGTCAACCAAAAAAAAAATCGGATTTCGGCCTCTGTCTCATTCCATATTGTAATCTCTACTTTCATGTCAAGATGAATGAATCAATCAAGCATGATTGATGGAAGTGTTTCAGAGATTATATTCTCATAAGATCTTTTGATTCAAACCTTTCAGAGTTATAATATTGAAATTATGTCTAATTCATTTATATTTAATATTACTATGCATATTTATCCTTATTAATTTTAAAGGTTGAAAAATCTAGAGCTCACCATACAGGCTCCTGTGCCTGGTGCATGGATACAGATCTGTGTTTGAGGAGCTTTCAGAGAGAACTCCTTCTGGCATTTCCTGAATGGTAATGCTCTAACATCTGTTTCCATCAGCTGTCTGGTGGCGGGCAGGAATGCACCAAGTTGACCCCATCCTGTTTATTAGAGTAAAACAATTATATTATATCTAAAAAAGACCATATTATATTTTTTTTTATAAGTTTTTTTAAGACAGTTGTAATACTTGATGTTTTTGAAGAATTAAGGTAGATGAATATGCTCATAAATAAAAATAAAAACGGTTGCGAGGGGCTATACGGATTTTCCCGGGCCAGAAAGTTTTAGCGGAGACTTAAAAGACTCCCCCGGCACCGGGACGCGAACTCGTGATTATTTTTTTAACAATTTGTCTCATATATCAGGTTACGGCACTAGCGGATCCAGGATTTAATTTTGGAGGGGGCTTCAGCCCGAAAGATTTTTTTTTTCATATACATATAACGATAATTAATTAGAAAAAAAAAAGGAAGAAATTAACTACCTATATGAAATGGTGTTTAAGTGGTTCTTGAAGTAATATTAAATGTAATTAAACGAACAAAAATACTTTAAGATATAGTTTTTAATATTTTTTTCTGTAAAACATGGTTAGATTTTACCATTTTTGGGAGGGGGGGGGGCTTCAGCCCGAAAGATTTTTTTTTCATATACATATAACGATAATTAATTAGAAAAAAAAGAAATAAATTAACTACCCATATGAAATGGTGTTTAAGTGGTTCTTGAAGTCCTATTAAATGTAATTACACGAACAAGAATAGTTTTTAATATTTTTTCTGTAAAACATGGTTAGATTTTACCATTTGGGGGGGGAGGCTTCAGGGGGTGTGATTTAATCATACTACTAATAGAATACTAGGATATGTTGAAATATATTATTGTATTATTATTAAATATTATTATTGAATATAACTAGTTACATACGTACTAGTAATCCCTAGCATAGCCAGCTAGTCGACTTTCCTTAATTGATTTTAGCTTACATCCACACTGCTTATTTATTATTGATTTTAATTTTTTTACCTCAGTTTATTGGGGGGGCGGCGATATTCTCTCCACTCAAAAAATTGGTTGGAGAGTATATCCACCCTCGCGCCTATACTTGTACCGGATGTGTACATTATATTACGATTTCAGTGTTGCTTGAATTGAGTCTTCTTTGCTTATGATTGCGTTAAAACATTCTTTAAAACTTACCGATTAGTTTGACCCACTTATTCTTGAGGTTGTAATTGCCGGTAGGCATGCAGACTGGTCCTACGTTTGGGTTGAATTGAAGAGGCTTGGCCAACAGAAGTAGAGCGATGTCGTTGACAGTCTGGAAAGCTTCATATTCAGGACTATAATATGCCTCATGCTCAATCCACCTACTCACAGGCACAATCTGACCAGCTGAAAAAAAAAAACCAAAACGTTAAGACAAAGCGTTCAATATTTAAACGTGAAGGTATGAAAATTGAAAAACTGAATTGAGGTAATCGATGAATTTACAATTTTTAGGTGTTTCTTAAATCTGCAATTAAAACCTTTATTAAAAAAGCCGTATATATATTATTAATAATAAGTAACAACAGTACAAAGACATAGATCATAAAAAAAAAATATTTAAAAATATGACGCAGATATGAAATAAAATAAATCCAAAATGGAATAATAAATTAAGCTAACGTTACCACGTTTTTAACGAGAAAGGATTCATTTATATTTATATTTATATTTGTCAAAAGATTATTATCATTTCATCATAAGTTTTGATAAATAAGTTTATTTGAATAAATATATTTTTAATTCTAAAAGAGTAACCACTAGGATCATTATCGCCTTCATTATATGATTAGTTAAATTTTAACACGTTTATCTCAAAAACATTATCAATTATAAATGCGCTGTCTTGCAAAACGCATTTATAATGGTCAACATTTAGTGATTTTTATGCTCGACTCCCAAAAGATTTTTTGGTGTTCATGTTCTATTAAGGATGCTTACCTCTCTCTCCAGAGTCCAGTCAGAGTTGTACCGCAAATATTTACAGGCGAAGAATCGCGTTCATTAATTATATTGTTCTAATTTTAATTAAAAGCTCTAATTAAAAAACTTTTAATAACACGAGTACGTCAATATATTTTAGTAAATGATTTATTATTACATATATGCTCAATTTTCTAGGAAGCATTTGCCTGAGTATGTATATAGTATGAGTATGTATGTATGAGTATTATATATGTAATCTATAATGTGGAGAATAAAAATGTTATTTTACTACTGTTCTTTTTTTTTTTTTGTTCGTTTTTTTTTTTTTTTGTCTTTTTGTTTTGTTATTACTATTATTTTTTTTCTTATGCTATCATTTCTTGTCCTTGATATCATATTTGCTGAATACCTATGTAGATGGCAAATTTATTGTGAGCCAGAAATATGTATATCTAATAAATAATAAATAATAAATTTGCCTGAATTCCAGAGATTTCACGTATAACTACCTAAAGTGTTAATTAATTTTTAGTGAAGAAACTAAATGAAAGAATAAAATTTCAACCCATTTGTTGTAAATGCGTTTTCAGGAATGAACCTAAATGCAATAGAATAATAATGTAATTTAATACATTCAGGCCAGGGGAGCGCAGAAAAGGGTTTTATTTATGCAAGTAGAGCCATCGAAATTAATGAGGAGAGCACTTTTTGACGGGGTTTTCAATTTTTGAGGGGGGCACATATTGGCGGGGTTATGGATTTTCATAGTGAAAAGTTTCACATCAAAAGATAAGTGGAATCATGAAACAGACCACAAGATGTGTGATAATATATAATCTACGGATATTCAAATTCTACCTTCGTTTGCACCGTTTTTAAGAAGAAGAGTGAAATAAAATATCTTGGAAGGGTTGGAGGAGGGTTTATGCGGCATCGGTATTGGGGAGAGATTGGCACCCCTGCTTCAAGTATCACAAGGAAAAAGTAAAAATGAAAATATGCTTATATATATATATATATATATATATTATAATTCTACAATAAAATCGCTGGAAGGTGAGAAAAAAAAATTTAATTCCACAAAATCAGTAGTTTTGCAAGAATTTTTGTTGCGACGAGTATTGAAAAGTAATAGTATTCGCACGATTTTGAGAAAACCTTGTTTCATTGAAAATGCCAGTATTGAATTCATAAAACCAGTTTACATAGAATTGTCACATATATTTTCAGTCCATTTTTTCCATATTAAATAGAATATACATAAGAAGTTCTGAGGACTCAAACTTAACCTCAAATTGAGAAAGTCCAAAGCTTTTGGGACTCTCTAATTACAAAGAATATATGTGAAATAATAATCTCAATATTTTTATAGAATTTATTATTATTTTTTAAATTTTTCATATATGAATTCCATGTTTATTTATTGGTTAATTTCAAAAATAAAATATATAAATTTTTGTGCATATCACCTTTTCACTTACTTCAATAGTTCACGTCATTTTTAAAACATTGCAATGATATATTACTTACA